GAAAGATCCTTTTTAATTTCTCTGATAAACCAGCCACATAAGGGATGACAGTGTTATCCCTTCTTGTTTCCGATTTCTCCCTGTTGGTGTTGGGTCTCTTCCTAGCTTTGGTGAAGGCCCACTTAGGGTATCCACAAGCCTTAAGGGAGTTCTGGATGTGTAATTTTTCTTTCTTGGCCCCTTCTGCTGTTGTGGGCACTTCCTCTGCCCTGTGATTCAAAGTTTTGATGACTCCCAGTTTATGTTGAAGTGGGTGGTGTGAGTCAAAAAGCAGGTATTGGTCTGTGTGTGTAGGTTTCCGATATATTTCTACTTTCAGGCTTCTGTCCCCTCCCAAGTGGACTGCACAATCCAGAAAGGCCAGGCAGTCATCCCTGGCATCCTCACGAGTGAAATTGATGTTGTCATCCACCGAGTTGATATGCTTGGTGAAAGCTTCTACCTCCTGGGTCCTGATTTTAACCCATGTGTCATCCACGTAGCGGAACCAATGGCTGGGAGCGATGCCAGCGAAGGAAGTCAGGGCTTTCTTCTCAAATTCTTCCATGTACAGGTTTGATTTGAGCTGAACATTTTGCTACCTGAAATAGGTGAGAGTGTGCTGAAGCAGAATTTTCCCATTCATTTGAATGGGGCAAAATTTTCAGACTGAAACTAATTATGAAAGTATGAAGTTTAGAAAAATTCTGAAGAGAAACGTGAATGTCCTTGAGGAGCTGAACATTCAGGACGATCTTTCAGCTTATTAGCATCCGCACGCATTTACGACAGGAAATGCATTTCTCTGGTTTCTTTTAGTTACTTTTCAGTTCTTCATTTTCTTTTATTTACCTTTCATACCTTTATTTTCCTTGCTTATATATATTACAGCTCTATTGATGATTGTCCAGAACTACTGACCTTTGGTTAATTTTAATATATTTATTTTCCTTGTAAAAGCTATTTTCGTTGTAAGCTTTCTTTGGCTCTTTTAACCAGGAACTCAGAGAGACGAAGCAGACCACTTGGATATATAAAAAAATAACCGTGCTGGTTTATTCAGAGAATCACAGGTAAAATTAACATTACACGTCCAGGTAACTTCCACCTCCAATACTGCGCGCAGGCAGATGAAGAATGAAAGACCCTGAACCATAATGCCTATACATTTTTATCACTTCGGTTGGGCTAGCCCCATACTACACAGGGACGTCAAACCGTGGTGTTAGGTAATTTCTTAGTTAGATAGATATGGATTAGAGATCTGTTGTATTAGAAAATGTTTAGTGTAGCCAGGATGTCTCCTCAGGATGTTAAATGCAAGGTTGGTTAAGGCAGAAGGGCTCAAGTCAGGGACAAATGTTATTATGACGGTAAAAGTAACCATAATATTTGTCTTAATGTGTAATGTTATGTCAAATTGTTTTAGATACACACCACGAAAACAACAGCCACACACATTATTTTCTTCATGTTTTGTCTACTGCTCTGCTCAGCTGCCAAGCTGGCATATCAGGTGACGTCACGGTTCGACAGCCCAGAAAGGATTAATATTGTATAGCAATGCGTGGTTCGGGGGCTTGCTGCTTCTTCTTGCCTGTGACTTTTTGAATAAACCAGCACGGTTATATTTTTTATATACTCAAGTGGTCTGAGTCGTCCCTCTGAGTTCCTGGTTTGAAAGAACCGGATGAGGCTTTATAATGGTTTTCAGCCTTACAGTGGCGTCACCTGATATGCCAGCTTTGCAGCTGACCATAACAATAGTCAAAACATGAAGAAAATCAATGTGTGTGAATGTTGTTTAAGTGGTGTGTATCTAAGAACATTCTGACATGACCTCTAGTGACATGTCATGACATTACACATAAGAAAATATTATGATTACAATTACGGTTACACATATCATAATAATAACAATAATCCTCCTGCCTGCAAACTTTTTCTATCTAGTTGTCCTTGGCCATATGCACCCTGCAAAAAACTCATGAGAATGACTAAGCATTTAACAGCCTGAGCTAGACATCCTGTCTCCACTAAACATTTCTAATACAACAAATATCTAACCAATATCTATCTGACTAAAAAATTACCTAACACTTGCTTATATATCTTTTAATTGTATGAATGAGAGTCAAGTGATATTGAAGTAAAAACTGCCTGCTTTAACTTCTGTTTAGCCATAGTGTCTGTACCTTCAGGTAACCAGACAGCCCATTTTACATTTTAACAAAGACCCGTTTTCCTGTTTTGCACCTTCACCTAGACTCACTTAGCATATTCCAAGTTCTGCTTTATCATGGAGTGTCTTGCAGAGACAGGGGGGCCTGCAGCCAAGACCACCCATTGTTCAGTGTTCATTTATCATGATCAAGCTGCCACCCGAGAAACACACACACACACACTTGGTTTAGATCACACTTCAGGAAGCAGGAGCAGGCAGGGGTTGACCTGCTCATGCCAAATGGCCAATAGGATTACGAAGCATGAAATGTTGTACCTCTGTCCAAGGCAGGCCTAGCTCAAGTAGATAAATGCACTGAAAGCATGTAACTCAGGGTTCAGAGAATGGATTTCCTGTGGGAGCTCTGTCGCTCTGATCCCAGCGCTGTATGGCTTCACCTGTACCCAGACTTTTGAGTAAACTTTTGAGTAAACTTGATTTTAAACAGTCCTCTCCTTTCTTCACTTCTCACGCTTTCAATAAAAGAATTTGTGTAAAATCTAACAATACTGTCGGCACAAGCCTGTACCAGTGATGGGTGTTAATCACAGCTCATCCTGTGTCCTCAAAGGATGTTGCTGATGCATATCTTCTACCATTTCTTCCTTCCTCCCTAGCCTCAGTGGGCACTCTTCACAATAAGCTGTCCTCCTCTGCTACCCCTTCGCCTGCTGCTTTCTATTCACTGTCACAATTAACCAGCTGCCTTCGCCTGAAGCAGCCTGTCACCATGCTGTGTGTGTAGGTAGGAGTTAAAGTAACGTTCTCCCACAGCTCTATATGAATTCCTGCTTCACTAATGTCCATCTTTAATCATTTGGGTCAGTTTACTGGTTGGGTCAGTTTACTGAGTACTATACCTTCAAAACTTTCTGAGTGACAGCCTGAAGAAAACCACCATTACTGAAATATTGTTTTTCTTGAATAACTTTCACACTGATAACGATATCACTGTGATTCCAAATGCCAGGTGTAGGTTGTCATAGTCAAGGAATCATATTATGAGGGTCAAACTATCATGGCGGAATGACATGATGGGGACAGTGAGCTACCTTGGAGAAGGTTTGTGCTTTGAGTGCTGTCTAGTTTGCATTTATTTCAGTATAAAAGCGTGCTCTTATTCAACATACAGTATGTTAATCCAGAATAAATCTCAAAATACTTTTAAAAATTTAGCTGTATGACAATTAACAGAATTATTTTAGCCTGATAACAGCAAGTTATTCTGAAGTTCAGCAACCTTTGAACAGGGCTCTGATCTGTTCTGTTGTGTATAACTTAGTGGATCATCTTCTGGTCATTTACAGCAGAGAACATTTGCAGCCAGTCCGTTCTCCGAGCCCTTCATGGTGAAGCTCCACAATGGGATGACCCGACAAACTGAGGAACCAGAGATGCTGTGGGTGATGGGTCCAGTCCTGGCTGTCATTGTCATCATCATCATAGTTATTGCAATCCTGCTTTTTAAGAGGTGAGTCTGGCAAACAAAACAGCAGGTGTGTGTTAGACACTGGTTTTTAGAGTGAAGCCACATGCAGAGTTTCCAGTGCTAATTCTGAATAAAAGCCCAAGATATGGCAAGAAACTGCAGGAAAATGATTACTGAAACTTACGTTTCACTTTATTTATGTTTCCAAACACAGTCCTCGCTCACTAATGTTGTTAATGCTTTCTTTCAACTCTGTCCTTGAACCAGAAAAAAGCTGCAACTTGCCCCCCTATATGGAGATATCTAGAGTGAAAGTGGGGGCCTCAGATTTTCGACCATGCTAGATCGTTAAAAATACACACACGTTTGAAAGACGTGCACTTGTCTAAAAAATAAAAACATCAGACCACACCTTCTCAGACTATTTCATAAAGAAAAAAGGTCTCTAAGTAAAATAAACTCTTTGACCAGAGCACTGCATCAGTTCAGATGACAGATGAAAGCTGAATGAATCCTCCACGTTTCTGGGGAAACATGTCATTTATATGTATATTACAGTTAAGATGTTCTTTAAAAGCCGCTACAGCAATCAAAGAGGATGCTGAAAAGGAGAGCGCTCTTCTTAGTAAAGATGCAAATACAGCATTATATCTCTATAAAAGTAAACGTTGTAGTGTGAGTGGATTAATAGCACAGCAATCTCTTAGTTTCTTTTTCTGATTACCATTGTTATGGTAATCGTAATCTTTAATTTCTGTGGGATTTGCTTGTTTGATGAATGCAGAATATAAACAAAGCCTTTCTCATGTATATATTCATTCATTCATTCATTTTCTACCGCTTAGTCCCTGAACGGGGTCACGCGGGGGCGGAGCCAATCCCGGCCGGCAATCGGGCGAAGGCAGGGTACACCCTGGACAGGTCGCCAATCCATCGCAGTCATGCATACATACTTTTTATTAATAAATTATTTATTAAGATTAGATTAGATTAGATTAGATTCAACTTTATTATATTACCCACGTACAAGTACAAGGTAACGAAATATAGTTTAGCATCTAACCAGAAGTGCAATAACAGAAGTTAACCATGTGTTTTGCTGAAAACCATTATAAAGCCTCATCCGGTTCTTTCAAACCAGGAACTCCGAGGGACGACTCAGACCACTTGAGTATATAAAAAATATAACCGTGCTGGTTTATTCAAAGAGTCACAGGCAAGAATTCACACTTCCAGTCCAGAGATCTTCCAACCCCCAGGCTGCCAAAGCAGCCCGGAAACCCAAAAGACCCCGACCCAAGCATTGCTATACAATATTAATCCTTTCTGGGCTGTCGAACCGTGACGTCACCCGATAAGCAAGCCTTGCAGCTGCTATAACGTTTAGCCAAAACATGAGGAAAAGTCAAGGTGCGTGACTGTTGTTTTCGTGGTGTGTATCTAAAACAATTGGACATAACCTTACACATTAAGACAAATATTAAGACTAGCATTACAGTTGACACTAACAGCTCTTGTCCTGTAACCTTGACGTGCCTGCAGTCTGCACTGCAGGCTGAACAGCTAACAGCCTAAGCTAGTCACCCTGTCTGCACTAAACATTCCTAGACAACAAATCTCTGAATATCTATCTAACTAAAAAATAACCTAACATGTTAAAGATAACAGCTATTTAAATGTAATCCATATCACAATAAATTTCCAGTTGTATAAATATTTACACCCTCTCTGCAAGTGAAATAGCATTTAACAATATTTTCATCTTACAAATGTTACCTCTGTGTCATCTGTGATTAAGAAAAGCAGTAGTTTGTGTGGCCCTTGAAGGCAGTGTATGTTCATTGTGTTCCTTCTCATATTGTCTGGTTGAGCAATCATTTTAGCCCAGTCCAGAGGGAGACCTGGGGTGTTTCCTTCATCACGACAGATAACAAGAACATTTTACAAGAGGCAGGCACCAATAAATTGAGTAAAGTATTCTCTAGATTAGGGATAGACATTCATCTTGGCTGAGCCAGCCTAAAGGCAAGAGGTCCTCCATTGCATGACAGGTGCTGTGAGTTGCCTGTAACCTTGCTCTTCAAGGCTAACATTTGGCTTGTGCTTCCTGTGCTCGGGTCAAACATCTGGAGCCACAGCTCGGCTGATGGTGACTTCCAGATGGCTACTGCTCTGCTCAAACACTCATTTTGTCTTTTCCTCATTCTTCTGTTTACTCTTGTCCTCTCTTGGATTTGTTCAGAAATATTTGTACTGGAAAATCTATGAATATCAACTCTTGTGGCTTAAAACTCAAGTAAACCATCACAAGGAATATAGAGTATGTAGCTTTATTTTTGTCAAAGTTAACTTATGGTTACATAGCAATCAAAAGTCTGCTGATAACCTATAGTAAGAGTAAAATCTGAATTGTGAATAGGCTGTTGAACTGATAAACTCTGTTCAGGAAAAAGCAAATCCAGAATGCATTCTAAAAATGATGTGATGGAAAGAAAAACAATTCCTTTGCTAGTCTATGAAAAGGGAGAATTTTCTTAGAGATACAGACAGGTGAAGGAAACCTCATCAATTCTGACTGACTGGTGTTGAGCCGGAGATATTTATCCCCCCTCGGTCGTGTTTCAGTCCTTTGAAGGCCAACAATGTCCCCTAACGACTGAGTCGTTATAGCCCATCTACAATCCTGTTTTGAGATCTCTGCCCAAACATGCCCACCAGGACAATAGGCGTCGGTCCACAGGAGAGGATCCAAAGACAGGTAACGAGAACCACCAACCGGGAGAAACCAGAAACAAGAGGGGATAACACTGTCATCCCTTATGTGGCTGGTTTATCAGAGAAGTTAAAAAGGATCTTTCGCAACCACAATATCCCAGTTAACTTTAAACCAGGGAACACCCTACGGCAGAGACTGGTCCACCTGAAAGACAAAACACCCAGACATAAACAGAGTGATGTGGTGTATGCAATTAAGTATAGTGTTGGACCCCTGTTCTTTTCACCACATCAACTCTGAGAGACGAAGCAGTCCAAGTAACTTTCATTTAGTCAATGAACACAGGTAAAATTAACATTCAGGAGTCTTTGCACCTCCAACATGCACGCAGGCAGCTGGAAGATGAAAGGCCCCGAACCATAACAGGCCTATACATCATATCACTTTGGGCTAGCCCCATACTACTAAAGGCTCTATCTATTATAAAGCCACGTCCGGTTCTTTCAACCAGGAACTCAGAGAGATGAAGCGGACCACTTGAGTATATAAAAAAATATAACCGTGCTGGTTTATTCAAGGATCACAGGCAAGAATTAACATTACACGTCCAGGCATCTTCCACCCCCAAAACTGCGCGCAGGCAGCCCGGAAGATGAAAAGACCCTGAACCTAATAGCCTATACAATTTAATCACATGGTTGGGCTAGCCCCATTCTACGCAGGCAACGTCAAACCGTGACATCACCTGATATGCCAGCTTTGCAGCTGACCAGAGCAGTAGTCAAAACATGAAGAAAATAATGTGTGTGAATGTTGATTATGTGGTGTGTATCTAAAAACATACAGGACATTCAGGGACATGTCCGAACAGTAAGCCTCGGAAGATATTATGATTAAGATTACGGCTGAACATAGCAATAATAATAGCAATATTCATCCTGCCTGCAGACTCTTCAATCTAGTTGACCTTGAGGCCCACATGCAGCCTGTAGCAAGCTCATGACAATGAATTAAGCATTTAACAGCCTGAGCTAGACATCCTGTCTACCCTACACATTTCTAGACAACAAATCTCTAAATATCTACCTAACTAAGAAAATACCTAACACTACTCAGGGACACCAAACCGTGACGTCTCCGGTGCCAGCTTTGCAGCTGACCATAGCAGTAGTCAAAGCATGAAGAAAATCAATGTGTGATTGTTTGTTGATGGTGTGGTGTGTATCTAAGACATTCTGACATGACATCTAGTGACATGTCATGACATTAAGCATAAGAAAATATTATGATTACGATTATGATTAAACACGTCATTATAATAATAATAAACATTCTGTCTCCTAACAGTAATCAACTTTCTATCTAGTTATCCTTGAACATGAACAACCTGGAGTACCCTATGGGGATGGATTTTTTCCTAGCCTCTAGAAACAAATATAAATCTTCAGTTCACAACTTTAATGGAGTCACAAGGTGAGGATTTACTGTAGTTGATAATCCTGATTAAAAATGTGCACTATAAACTCCAAAATATCGGTAATTTAATTTAAATACACATATAAAGAAGCTATACATACATACAGGTATGAACAAATGTGTAAATTGTTAGCCCTGTCACAGGTGGCGATTTGAATTATAAGTAATGTGTGTGTAGTTTCTTGTGCACAACATTCAACCAGAACTTTTCCACAGATATTTTGACATGAGAGGTAATGAAGAGGCAGCATGCAGCACACCAGGACCTTTAAACTGAAGCACCTAAATAGAATTAAACCATCACAAATTTTATTATCCAAAACTGTGCTATTTGTACTGTGGTATCCAAATGTCTCTGCAAAAGGCCTATTGAATTTTGTTTAAAGCTGCATTAACTTAGATTTAGCACAAGTTTGAATAGATCAAGTAAAAAAATGTCCAGAAGTGTTCTCTCCCTGTTTTTCTATCCTTCAAACCTCACCCAACTCTGCTATCTTCAGGCCTTGTGTTTATTTCTTGCCCACTGTAGCCATTGTTGTTCAAGTCCACATCACACTTCTTCCGTGCCCCCGCTGATCCAAGCTTATAAGATGTGTTATTTCAAACCAGTATGGCTCATTTCAGAGATGGCCTGTGGAGGCTCCCTTTGCAGGTACAACCCAGGATGGGAGCGGATCTGCCTTTTAGACCCAAGAGGCTGCGATCTGTAGCACATAAAGAGTGCAACAAAGATCAGGGCAAAACCAGGGTTAACATAGGTTTGGCTTTTCAGAGATGGAGAACATTACTGATGTTTTTAGTATTGAGTATATGACCTGTTTCCTTAACTTTATAGTGCCTTTGTCATGAGTGTTATAATAATCAACATGCCCTTGTGGTTGCTGTATGGTCATCGATAAAGAACACGATGTTTCCCACTGGACTTGAGCATCCGTCTCTCTGGGAAAGTACTGTGTTTGATTTATTCATCCATTTCTCTCCAACTAATAAGAGTTTTTATACTGTGCCTGTACTAATTTCCTCCTTTGCTTGTGTCATTGTTACTACAGCTACTAGAGGTGTTACGGCGAGCTGTGTGCGAGTTGTTTAGGACCCAGTAAATATGCAGATTCGAACCCAGGCTAGACAAGAAAAACGTATTTAATGCTCCACGAAAACAAACAAAACAGAGCCGGTCTTGTCCGCTGATCTTGGGGCAGCTGGGCACACCGAGTTGACTGGACTTCTGTTTCCCGGGGTGTATTAGAGGCGTAGCTCGCTAAATAAGAACAGAGAGAGAGAGTTTAAGAACAAGCTGCAGGTATGGTATAGATTGTTTCTGGTAGTCACTCTGGGGACCTGAACAGCTGAGTGCACCGCAGGCCCAGGGAGGGGGAGACTGGTGCCAGAGATCTCGGGTTCGGTGTGTGGGTCCCCTGATGAGGCAGCGCTGGTAGCTGAGCGGTGCGACGTAGGATGGTGGCGCTGTCCCAGGATTGCCTTGGAGCTCTGTGAGGAGGAGCAATTCACAAAAAGCAGTCCAAAAACCAAAAAACCCCTTTAAACGTGAGAAGGGCACGAAAACCGATGCAACAGAACAATGCGCAATAACAGTTCACAATGTTGCGAAAGGAGCGCAGATCAAAAACAAGTCCATAAACTTGAGGCCTTGACATGAACATGAAACGTAGTTACAGTACCAACAGGATAACACATAATAATCTGGCGACGAGGACGTATATACTGCTCCGATAATGGAGAGCAGGTGTGCCTCGTCGCCTGGAATGCACCCTCACCTGTGCGGGGGCGGAGCTGCTGGAACTACCTGTGCCTGCTACCGAGGTACATGGGGCGGCCCGGGTCATGGACGTAACACCTAAAGTATCTATCCAATATCTATCTGACTAAAAATATCTAACACAACTCTCACTGATACTGGGCTATAACCACTCAGTCGTTAGGGGACATTGTTGGCCTTCAAAGGACTGAAACACCACCAAGGGGGATAAATATCTCCAGCTCAAAACCAGTCAGTCAGAACTGATGAAACCTCTTGGATGAGAGGTGAAATGTCTTCGACCTAGAAATCTAGTCCAGTTGATTTTTTTCAAAGTTTTTTTCAGCCAGAGTACAATACAAAGGAACCTATCATAGGTTCACGAGCAGGGACCTGCCCTCACTAAGTATCGATGGAAGTATAAGGATAGAGTGTGCTTGTGAGCTATTTCAACTGAATGTAGTTTTTATGTGAGACAGATACATTCACTGTGTCACTGACATGGGTCAGGAGCAGTCAAGGCTTATTCAAGGTCACTGTTTCCCTTTAAGGGTGGCAACCAGAACACAGAATGTAAATGAATGACACTGGCTGTTTTCTCCTGTATGCTCTTGTTTGTTTATTGCTACAATCATTTTTTTGAAGATGAACAGTGGACATACCCAGTTTGTAGATAGTCCACTTTAAACAGCAAAGAATGAAGATGAGTTAGCTGAAATTCTCAGAAGCTGGAAGGTGAAGCTGCTCGGCTGGCAGCGGATCAGAAAAGGAGCACAGGGAGGAGTAGGAGTAGTAAGGTGCTGTTAGGTGTGCATCCTGTTCACTGTGACACTCTGTGGCATTTCCACTGCTGACAACTTGTAAATTAATCCTGACTCTCTTTGCTCCCTTGTTCAATGTCTGCCTGCTGTCTGTCGTTGCAGCAAACAAGAAAGGTTAGTGTCTCTGCCAGTTCTTACACTGCTTCACCCCCCGCCCTCTCCTTTAGCTGTTGCCCTGCCTCTGTACATCTTCTCTGCTGTGTAAAACATGCCTTTGGGTCATATTTATGATTTCTCACAGTGATGATATGAAATGGCAGATGCTCATTGTCTCTGTTACACATCATTCCAGCAGCTTTAAAGCTTTTTTCAAATCAGTTTCAGCTGACAGCACTTATAAGCATGTGTGTCTTGTGTATTAGTTAGTGTCGGAGTACATTCTGGCATGTTTGTTTGTTTTGGGTGTGTTTTCTGCCGTTCAGCTATGTGCCGAGTTCACAAATCCCACTGATCTCCTCAGAATGATCCTCAAATACAAATCATGATTTATCATTTGTTTAGCATATTTCTCATTACAAGATGTATTTTACTGAGCTGTGTAGTGATGCTCTGCTCTTGTAGATTGCCACCTGCTGCTATCAGGCATAAAGGTTTTTACTTTATTTTCCCCAATAAGAACTAACTTTTAGTCACTGTGGTGTAGGACTATGGCTCTTGTTACCATTGCTAACTCAGAGACGAGACAGTCCAAGTAACTTCAAAACAGTGCTGATTTATTCAAAGGATCACAGGTAAAATTAACATTACACGCTCAGGTATCTTGCACCTACAAACTGCACGCAGGCAGATGTAAGATGAAAGACCCTGAACCCACCAGGCCTATACATTATATCCCCTCGGTTGGGCTAGCCCCATACTACACAGAAACGTCAACCGAGACGTCTCTGTTACCAGCTCTGCAGCTGGCCATAGCAATAGTCAAAACATGAAGCAAATCAACGTGTGAATGTGTGTGTGTCTGTTGATTAAGTGGTGTGTAACTAAAAACATTCTCACAGACTTCTAGAACATGTCGTGACTCAAACATAAGAACATATTATGGCTAAGGCTACAGTTATACATGTCATAATAATAATATTAAACACCCTGTCTGCTGATAGTCATCAACTCTTCTCTCTAGTTATCCTTGACCAGATGTACCCTGTAGAAACTCATAAGCATGCCTAAGCATTTAACAGTCTAACTAGACATCCTATCTTTTGATTGATTGATTGATTGATTGATTTTATTCTCCACTAAACATTTCTAATACATAAAGTATCTATCCAATTTCTATCTGACTAAAAATACCTAACAGTGGCATGTCCTAACTCGGTTAAACGGTTACCTTGTGTCATTATATCATTTTGTCTTTCCTCCAGGAAGCGAACATCTCCTGCCAAGGATGAGCACATGGCAGGGGTCAAGGACTCACTGCTGGCCCACTCCTCAGATCCTGTGGAATTGAGGAGACTCAACTATCAGACACAAGGCATGGACACACACACACACCTACACACTGCCCCTGCCACCTATATGCTGATGTTTATTGACACACACACAATCATGCCTGCTTCTATAGAGATAGTGACGTGTGAGGAGCCATTTTGGATGTACCACAGGAAACTCTCCCATTTGAATCATTAGTACAAAAGATTAACAAATGTTTTAGAAAATGTCTAGCTCTTTGATTTAAAAAAATCTAAGGAAAAAAATCAGTTAGTAGTAAACTAGGAGTCCCAAACACAAGACTTAAAATGTTTACATATGTTGCTAATGACAGGCAGATAAATGCAATATTGAGAAAATAGATTTTACAATCTGTCTTAAAAAATTCACTTTTAATGTCACATCCTGATGAATTCAGCAACCATGGTGCAGTCACCTACAACTACAAAGTGTTTTGAATTCTCTACCAGGACACCTGGGTGGTGTACACTAGTATTTCCAACCACTGATAGAGCTGCTGGTTTAGCTGATGCTTAAGAGAAAATACAGATGCAGCTGTGTGGATTGTGAGCAGTAATTCAAATAGCAAAGTCACTCTGAAAGTCTAGACTCAGCAACATTCTCTTCCAGTGCCTCTAACCAGAAACTGTACCTTGGGCAACACCATTCAAGGCTCTATACATGATGAAACGAATTGGAGCTGTAATCTAGAAGCAATGGGAAGCCAGTGAGGGATGCTAGAACCGGTGTTATGTGTTCTTTTCTTATAGTTCCAGTAGTTTAAAGCAGAACTGCTGCATTCTGGACCAGCTGAAGATGTTTTGTTTTTTTTACTGAGTGCAATACATAGAGTTACAATAGCCTAGACAGGATGAAATAAAAGCATGAATACATTTTTCCAGGTCAATGACAAAAATGGCTCAAATGTTAGAGATGTTCTCAGCAAGACCAGGACTACTAATTTGAGACAAACGTAATGTTGTCTCTGTCACTAACAAAATCCAGATTAGAAATTCTCAAAGAATTTAATGGAACTTTATCATCCATTTAGTGTAGTGACTCTAAAAGAAAAGGCAGTTATGAAAAAGGCCAGCAGTCACAAACAAGACAACAGTCAGTGTCTGTTCTTTGAAGAAGTGGGTGGGGTACCAAATTCTCTAACCTTGACCTTAGAATAGAAGCTATGGGACCCTTTCACTGGCACATTTACCAGATCAATTCTGTCATGGTCAGTGCACAAAAGCAGCTTGATTAGGATTGAACACAAAAACAACTTGGACAAGTTTAGGGACCCACGATACTTGGTTTGGTTTAAAAAAGGATCACTGAGTTAAAATAAGCTTCCACCATAAGGTCACAGTAATAAACATGGCCAGGGTTGTGGAATGTCCTGGATAATAACACAATGTTTCTCACAGGATTCTAACACTGCTCTCCCCCAGACTGAAACGATGGAGCCTGTCACCCTCACAATAACATCTTTTTTTTTTGTGATACATCACTGTGAGTAAAATAAAGGACAAAATTTTTTTTAGTAGTTAGTGGAGCCGTTCAACCTGGTAGCATGATTACCAAACTCTGTTACCCATTGTAGCAAATTTATTCATATATATATATAATTGTGTTTTATGTCTAACTTGTTTTTAATAGTTCCCAGCTTTTCGCATTACTTTCATCAGCATAAAATGTGTGACTGTATAGTGTTTAATTTTATGAGGTAGCAAAACAGTGCACTGTTAGAAGTATTCTTTTTATTAAATTAAATATTAATTTAAAAATACCGTGGCTTATCTAATCACCTGTAGCCGTTTCTTTTTCTGTTGAAACGACAGCTGACCCATGATTTTTGATTCAGATCTATTGAAATAATGGGGAAAACAACACAATGGCATATTGAACTGAGGAGAATGAACCAAAGCTTGGAACCAGAAACGCAATGTTATGTCGCTACTTAACAAGTGGATTGGTGAATCCCAGTTCTGTTATTTTATTGATCCTCGCTCCTCCATCCTTGTCCAACCCGGAAGTCATTCCGGTCTGGCATCATGAAGGATGACCCAAAGCTCTTGCTACTGCTCTGCGGAGCAAGGAGGCTGCTGGAGGAGTCATGAGAGAGGATACATAAGAACATCCTTTGCAGAGGTTTTTATGAACCAACACACCCCTAGACATCAGTTGGCGATTGGATACTTCAGATGAAGAACGTCTCATATTGTTAATAACGTTTCCTTGAGTCCTCTCTTTTTGCCTTTTTCCCTCACATCTTATGTAGGCAGGACTACACAAGAAAAGACACAAGCGAGGAAAAGGACTGTACATATAAGAGTCTCGAGATGTATCCATGGACGTTTTTTACAGAGGGACAGTCTAAAGAAGAGTTGGTAATTTGTTAAACATAGGGAGCTATGTTCCCAGTAGCCTCTTTAGTAGTTTAATAAATAGGATTTCAAAGAAACCATGATGATAGAAGACAATGTTTATGAGAGTATAACATCAAAAATAACATATCTGATATAACAGGAAGATTAACTGACTCATAATTCTGGGGTACAATTTGACTTCTCATATTTCTGACTGTCTCAGAGAAGATCATGAGTCATTATTCACAGCCATAATGGGAGTGGTGCTCAGGAGCAGGTTTAGGGCAGCAGTAAGATAGGAATTAATTTTGAACAGGGTCCTAGGGTTATGGGAGTTCTCCAAAAAAAGCCATTTTTAAGGCTTCTATCATCCTTTGCTTCAATCATAGTTTTAGTATTACAAACCATGTGATTATTTTTTGTATTCTTTGTTTTTAAATCACTTTGTTTTACTTTCTTTTAGTGTCCTCATGCACTTTTCTTTGACTTTTTCACTGTCTCTTACTTTTTCATCTCTTCTGTACCCTTCCAACTTCTTCTGTGTTCTCTTTCTCCCATCTGTTTTTCAGTGGGAGGTTTTAAACTCACAGTTTGTCATTGTTGTTCATCCATGTTCCTCTCTCAATCAGATGGGTGGCATTTAACTCTGGTAGCAGTAGAAGGAAATTTGGCAGATGTTGTTTACACCAACATAAATTCATCAGCTCATTTAGCTGCCAGTCTTTGTTCTCCCCTCAGTGAAAGCTCACTGGGTGGCCTAGAAGCCTCTGAACGTTTCAGGTTTTTCACAACAAGCAAATGCATGATATCATCTTTACTCACGCTATGGAGTCAGAACTTGAGTATTTCTATTTCCTGCTTTTTTGTCCACTACAATTAAAACAATATTTAATATGTGCTTAACTTTATAGTACTAACTATTTTCCCTACTGTATGCTACAAACTGCTACAAACCTTGGTTGACATGCAAATTAGCAGTTAGGTTTGCGCAAATGTGGTCATAAACCAAAGTATTACACAAATTAAAATTGTGACTTGATAGTGGTACTAGAGGAAAGGTCAGAGGCTCACCAAAGTTACCGGGCTTTATCCTCGGGACCCTGGGTATCTTTATTAATTTCATGGCATTTCATCAAATCAATGTCACCATAATTCAGTCTGGACTTGTGGTGGACAGCCTGGCCACCTGAGCAACAATGTCATCTTCAGGACCACTCTGCTGATATGGATTAAACTGAAATCACTTCATCTGTGATGGAATGCAATATAGAAAGTCATGTCAACACATCTGTTTAGCCTCTGTTCCACTAGATTCTATGCAGGCTCTCATTTAGCATCTTTTCATCGGTCATTGTAAGAAAACTAAACGCATTCCTCAGAATATTTTTTCATATTTCACTACAACACATACTACTGAAAGTTGAAACCTTTGCGGTTTTAACAAAGTTGATTAATGATATTTTATTTAGACTACAGTTCCCTTTAGACTACATGGTGGTACACATATTATATGCCACCGTTATTTACTAGACTCTTCTATCCAAGTAGCACAACACTAGCTGTGTGTTTCTGATTTTAGTCTCACTCTCAACTTTTTAAGTTGTAAAACACATAAGAACACATGTGATAGTTAAAGCCATGTCTTAACTCGTTACCTCAGTTCAACAATCTCAGCAGTTGACCAGCATCGACTGGTGACGTTTCAGCTTCGACAGGTTCAGGCTTCTGGGAAATAATGTTCATTAAAACCCAAAAACAAATGTATTACGTTATTGTCAATAATACAATGTATGGTGCAAGCAACTGAAGTGAAATGAGCAACATGCTATGTTCCAAGGCTGGATTTCCTAGCCTGATTTTTCTCACCTCCACGCACAGCTTGGGCTCTGGAACTTTACTCCTTGAGAGAGGCTGGACTCTCTACTACTCTGGAGTTGCCCGCAGTGAGAGGCAGCGGGCTGGTGTGGGCTTGCTCATAGCTCCCCAGCTTAGCCGCCATGTGTTGGAGTTTACCCCAGTGAACGAGAGGGTCGCTTCCCTGCGCCTTCAGGTCGGGGATAGGTCTCTCACTGTCGTTTGTGCCTACGGGCCAAATGGCAGTGTAGAGTACCCGGCCTTCTTGGAGTCCCTGGGAGGGG